GATTACAGGCATGTGCCACTACGCCCGGCTACAAACTAAATCTTTTTCATCAAGGTTAGCAGATTATTATCCAGTAATTTAGAATGGTGCTGCTTAGATATAAATATTTTACATTGACTTTCATCTTTGATTTATAGACTAAACTATTTTATATCACTCACCCCATTCTATATTTAGTGTAAACTATGCATGAATGTATGTATATACACAGGTACATAAAATATAAATTCACAGTAATCTAAATTTTTGAACATATATGCATGTCCTCTATGAAGCTTGAAGCCATTTTGGCATTAGTGCTACCTTCCTATACATAAGGCATACAAATTGAAAAATAAATATAACTTTGTATTTGAGATAGAAACTACTTGTGATTTTTGGTTTTATTTTTTGACACAGGGTCTCACAATGTAGCCCATGCTGATCCTCTTGCTTTAGCCTCCCAAGTACTGCAATTACATGCACATGCTACCATGCCTATCTTAGAAACTCTATCCTAGTTCAAATCTCAAACTGCCAATCAGTATCCCCTAGTCATGGGACAAACTGAATTACTCTAAGATGCAAGAAAGATCTGTAGTGTTACTATACCAGAGAATGAATAACAAGTTTCCAGTTTCAAATTATGCTATAGCTGTTTAGAAATAGTATTTTACTTATTTTATTAATTGCCGATCCTGACTTGGGTTCCCTTGGCTTATCAAAGGAGTTTAAAGCTTCCCCACCTTCAATACCTACCCAAGGATGGGCCAAAATCAAATCATTTGGTCCATACCAGAGAAAAGGTACCTCTGTGATAATGCAAGATTTGAGGGTTCTGACTAGGTCACATTTTCTAGCAATCAGAAATTTAGCAATTTTCTTAGATATTAAAAGTCATAATTGTGAATGTGGCTCCTTCGTACGTCTTCTTTCCACTTAGGTGAAGAGGAGCCAGTCCACTTCAGTCTGGTCTGTAGGGGCTGGAGACAATGAATCCAGCTCTGGTATGTATACACTAGGGAAGACTTTTTCTTGTCTAATCTCTGGGAGTTGAAAAATGGGAGGACTAGAGAAGAGGAAGTAAATAAGCCTTGGAGACCAGCTTTGATTTGAAGCTATGCGGGCCTATGTAGTTTACACATACTACATGTGTTCCAGATCTAGTCAGAAAGCAAGGTCTGTTTTAAATATTGACGATTCTTTGAGAACAGAATTCATCTTAAAATTCTACATGCCTGTGAAAAATTAAAGGATTAAAATTTAAGATACATACTATTAAAAATTTAGGCATGCCAATACAATTCCAGTTACTATTTCACTAACTTCACCACGTAATTAATTTCAATTGTGATTTATTATTATTCTAAGAGAAACCAGCCCATGGTTAGCAAAACAGATACTTGCAAAGATCTTTTCCCCTCAAATTTACTACTTATGTCTTCCTACAATATTACTATACTTGGAATTTGGTCTTGATAGTTTACCTTTTAAATAAATTGACTTATATTAATGTTAGTCAATCCTCTTTCACAATAACATTTTATTAAATTGTAGTAATTTTCACAATTCAAGATTTTGATAACTTTTTGCGAGACAGGGTCTGGCTATGTAGTTCAGCCCAGCCCTGAACTCACTATGTAACCCAGGTTGGCCTCAAACTCTTGGCAATCCTCTTCCCTCAGTGCTGGGATTACAGGCATACACCGCCATGCCCAGCAAGACTGTGAATTATTGGGCTCATTTAGGAACATTTTAGTTACCTAGAATTCTTTACCTTGTTTGTCAAATATACACACACTCACATATTTTTTTCTTTTTGAGACAGGGTCTTGCTATGCAGTTCAGGCTGGCCTTGAACTCACAACAATCCTCTTGCCTCAGCCTCCCAAGTGCTGGGTATCCAGGTGTGCACCACCGCACCTGGCCAAAACAAGTTTTTAATCTTCTGTTTGGTACTCACTCTTTAAGGCTATCTGAACGCCTCCTGTTTCTTCCCCATGAAGAACTTCTACTTCGAGTTCTCCTTTGACTGGGGCTTCTTGACCTCCTGTGATCAGCTGGAGAACAAGGATGACGTTCTTTTGATTTCATTTGGCCTGGTGCTAGAATGTGAAAAACAAGACTTGTAACAATTCATTATTTGAAAACCACAGTAACAGCCAATCAACTAGGATCACTTGCTGAAAGAATTTTAAATTTTAAAAATCTGCCATTGCTGTAACTCATTCTGCTGAATAAAAAAGATCTGATGTTTAGTCACACTTACTTTTGCGATCACCTTGTGCAAACTGTATTTCAATTTGACGGCCACATACCCACTTTCTATTGAGGTTATAAAGAGCATCTTCAGCATCTCGAACATCTTCAAATATGACTAGCTGTTAAGGACACTTTGAACATCAGACAGCAAGTAAAAGTACTTTTAAGGTATACATGTAAAATGAAATTAAAGGGAACAACAAGTTCTAGCTATTACATTCACATCTTCACTATGAACAATCAGAGTGAAATTCACTTTTATTATTATATAAGTACTCTATTAATATTTAGGAGAATAAACGTCTTTAAAAATGAACAAACATGTAACTTTTTGTTTTTTTTGCAGTGCTGGAAATTGAACTCACACTGAGCTACATTCCCAGGCCTATTTGTTTGAGAAGGAACTCACTTAAATCACTAAGTTATACAGGCTGAGCTCAAACTCCTGTCTTGGTTTCCCAGAGTGCTGGGATTACAGGTATGTGCCACCACACTTGGCTTGACTGTACTTTTAATATATTGATGTAGCTACAAAATCCCTGTATAATTTGAAACATGCTATGAGAAAAAAAAAGTTAGTCCCAAATTAGCTGGCATTATTTTTTTTTAAAGGCTGTTTAGAACTCATTCCTTTTTTGTTGTTGTTTTTAATGGTAGTAGGGATTGAACTCAGGGTCTTCTCACTGAGCTACATACAAAGTTCTTCTGCATATTTTATTTTGAGGCAGGACCTCAATAAATTGCTAAATTGCTCATGCTGGTTTTGAATGCATGATCCTCCTACCTCAGCCTCCCAGAGTGCTGGGATTACAGGCCTGTACCACTATGGCTGACTTCTTTTCATAAAAAGGATCCATCAGGATTTTCACTGAAAATATCAGCTTGCAGAAACCTTTACTCTGAAATTAAAATTGTTCTTTCATTAAAAGATTTATAATTATGCCATTTAAGATAAATCACATAAATAAGAGTGCATACATACAAGTTGTTCCCATAATCCCAGGACTGAGGAGGCTGAGGCAGGAGGATTAAAGGCATTTGCTTTATTTCAGTATGAGGCCAGTTTGGGCTACACAATGAGTCAAAGGCCAGCCTCAACTATATAGCAAGACCCTGTTTCTGTCTGTTGTTTATTTATGTTTGTTTTTGTTTTTGAGACAGGGTCTCACTATGTAGTTCAGGCTAGTGTTGAACTCACTATGCAGTCCAGGCTGGCCTTGAACTCACAGGGATCCTCCTACCTCAGCCTCCCAAGTTCTGGGATTACAGGAATGCGCCACCATGTCTGGCAGCCAGACCGTGTTTCAAAACAAAACAAAACTGCACATATACAAATGAGTTTGTAAAAACTGATTTAATCCTTCAAAAACCAAACGCATGTTTGAACCTATCACTTAATCCTTTATGTTTTTACTATTTGGGATATAAGTAGAAAAAAACATAAAAACGATCTTCAAACTTCTACAATTACATACACTGGTTTGAAATAACCCACTAAACTCCCTTAGCTATATAAATTATACAATATTAATCCTTGTATAATATATATTAGCTCTATAAAGGATTCAATATTTCAGGAGGTTATTAACTACTTTTTTAAAAATAGCAAACAAAATAAGCTCAAGAAATGCAATATAAAATAAGACTGGCAATTACCTCAATGTCACTTGATCTTGAACCTTGACCTTTACTCTTTAAGACTTGCAAGATGGACTTTATAAGAGATGCAGAACCAACAAAATCAGACTTGGCTTTGACTCTCGAACTCTGAGTAAATGTAGGAAAGCCGAAGTCTCAAAGTTGGCTTTGTCTTTTGCTTGATAAAGACTTCCCTCTTCCAGGTCTTTATATCTGTGTACACCCTCCCTCTTTACTCCTTGATGCTTGAACTTTAGGTGCCTTTTGTCTCGCCTGCTCGGGTTATGCTTGACTCTAGCTAACAGGTTGGTTCAAACTGGGGGCGCTTGCCAGCTACTGTGGACTGCTTTAGATTTTCTGAGATAAAGAAATAAACACATTTAGTTAGGCAATGTTAATCTTACAACATACGCTCCTGAATACATATAAGCAAATGTACACATATTCACATGCACACAAAATAAAGGATATTGAACATAAGCAAATCCTCTTGGGCGGCGAGTGTAGAAGTCAAGTGGAATGTAAACGTCTACTATAGGGCCATATCGACCAAATTCACGGCGCAAGTCCTCAGGCCTGAAGTGTTTTAGAAATAGGGCAAAGAAATATGAATGGCTGGATTAAAGTATCTTGCCTACAGAAATCTAGTTGCAACCTTCAAAAGAAAGTACATCATCTAGACCGGCATTATCTGAAACTTTCTTACAAGAATCACCCAAGGTTTCTATTGCTTTTTTGTGTGTGTGTGTGGTAGTGGGGATTGAACTCAGGGCCTTGGGCACTCGAGGCAAGCAGTCTACCATTGAGCTACATCCCCAGTCCCCACCCAAGGTTTTTAAGCAGAAACAAAGGAGGAAAGGAAAAAAAACCATATTCGCAGTCTCTCTGTCAGACACTCTGATCAGGAAGTCTGGGTTAGGGCCTGGATGCGTGTACTTTTACAAGCACTCCAGGTGACTGCCGCGCTTAGTCAATTTCGAGAAATGTCCATCCAGCACATCCACCTGTGAAAATTACTCCAATTACGAGACCTAATAGTTTCACCAAGAACACATTCATTGGCTTCACCGTCACCTCACATTTCTATTAGTCTTACTTTCAAACAGCAACAATGAGATTCTAAAGAAGTCCTAAAATTATTTCTCAGACTTTAAAGGACAAGAGAGTTTTACTATTAAACATAAAGCAAAATATTGTATTCTCAAAATTTACAGGTATTTTGAGCTTCTTATAATGCCTTCTGCTGTAATAGGTATTGAGAAGGGGATACCAAAGAAATATACATCGTATCTGTCTTCTTGGAGCTACAATTTAACTAAAGAGTGACAGTTACAGTGTATTTATACAGTAGCCACTGGTCATCTTAAAATCAGGTAGTTCTCACCAGAAGTGGTGCTGCACGCTTGTAATCCCAGCACTCGGGAGGCTTAGGCAGGAGAATCATCACAAGTTCAAAGCTAGTCCGAGCTACACAGTGAGTTTAAATTCAGTTTAGACTACATAGTGAGACCCTATGGTTGTTAACAGGTGAGGACACACATTAATCCTTCTAGGGTCACGGAGCCAGCAATGACACAGCTGGAAACAAACTTCTATAGCTTGACACTACTCTGTGTTCTTAACCATATGCCACATTGGCTCATGAGGATGACAGAAAGCTGGCCATGTTGTGTGCACGCTGGTAATCCCAGCACATGGGAGACTGAGGCAGGAGGATGATGAGCTCAGACTAGCCTGGACTACACTGAGAGACTCTATCTCAAAAGAAAAAAAAAGATCATAGGGATTGTGCATCAAGTTTTGAGCACAATACATGGATCAGAAAAAAGTCGTGTAATTCAAAACATACACAGAGTAAAGAATCAAAGAACTGCAAAGCTGTTGCTTGGGCAAACAGAAGGAAAACATCAGTGACAAAAATTAGACAACTGGAAACAAAGCTGGGAAGAGGTACAAGAGAGGCAGAAATGGCAGCTTTCAGATTTAGAAATGCAGACTGAGCTGAGGGGGAACATTCGTAAGAGCTCTGTGCGCAACTGGAAACAGACTATGCAAATTATATTAATTTTGTTTTCTCTCAAGAACATAAGTGATGAAGAATACAGATGAAAATTTACGCTTCACTACATAATGATTTAACTAATACTGACTAAGCATTCAATCTATGTTAGGAAGAACAGGCCATATTAAGACACACTTTAATACAATAATGTTTCTTTGCCTTTCCTGGTAGACTGTTAGCTTTAAAGAGCAGGGATAATGTTGTTTTGTTTTGTTTTTTCCTCTTTCACTTATTTATTCAACAAGTACTTACTGGGCACCTGTGTGCCAGGCCCTAGGGATGTGGTGAGGAATAAAAAAAGAGTCATTTCTGTTCCCATAATACATACACTATACAACAAAGATTTTCAACTGCTCATGAATACTGGAATCATCTGTGAAGGGGATGCTACAGAAGCAGGCACCCCAGCCCGATGCATAAACTCTAGACCTAGTTAGTGGTGCTGTACACCTGTCATCCCAGCTACTCAGGAGGCTGAGGTGGAAAAATTGCAAGTTTGAGGACAACAGGAACAATTTACCAAAACCCTGCCTCAAAATTTTAAGATTTTAAAATAAAGGATTTCAGTGGCAGAATATTTGTCTAGTATGCACAAGGCTCTGGGTTTAAACCCCAGTACTGTTAGCAAAAAGAGAAAATTTTATTAGGCAATTCTGAGACTGAAGATTGAAAATTACTGCTAAAGCAGGTATCTTCATCAGCATATCCCTACTTAGCACAGCTGATGGGTACAGAGTAAAGCACTTAATATGTGTGTGTGTGTGTGTATATATAATATATATATTTGCCTATTAGTGAGTCAATATATTATGGCTACTTTTAAGAGTCAAGGAGACGTAGGGTGAGAAATTAAGTTACCTAGACAGGTACAACCATTGTCAAGTCAGACTGCAAAGCTAGAACTCAAATGAAGGTCCTCCAAGATAACCATCAAATGTTGGTGGCCAATAGGAAAGGGATCCTGGGTAATATAAGGAAAAAGTCTGGAGCAGTGTGTGTCACAGAGGTTTGGAATCCTAGCAAGCAAGGATGATGGTCCGAAAGAGAAACTCTGAAAGAGCTTTCTCTCATTCATTGTCTTCACCTCCCTTACTTCTTAGCTGTTTTGTTTTCATCTGTTTCTGCATTTTGGGTGTGATCTACTTCAACATTCAGAGATTATATTTAGAACTGTATATACTATAGAGAATAATAAAATACATGCAGTATATATCTACCAGCAAGATTTATTATGGCCTTTTCTTTTTCAGTGCCGGAGGCTGAACACAGGGCCTTGCATACGCTAGCATTCAGCATCACCCTAGCCCCTTCAAAAACTTCTTAAAGTGCCAAACGTGCTGCAGTGCACATTATGTCTGTGCTTCTTGGAGTTCTGCTAGATTTCTGGCATGCATCCTTAGTAAAGGAATTGGTGGGCTGGAGAATATCCCTCTCTTCAGTCTCTGTACTCCACAGGATGCAAACAACTTACAGCCCCAAAGCTGGAATTCACACAACTCTAGTTCTGCATTCATACCTTTCATTTCCTGCCATTCTGAAGGACACGGAGTACATGGGGATCTCATTATAAGTTTTAGTGGTTTTTTGTGTGTGCTTTTTTTGTTTTGTTTGAGATGGGGTCTCATTATGTTGTCCAGACTACAGCTTTGAACTCCTGGGTTCCAGCAGCTCTCCTGCTTCAGCCTCCCAAATAGCTAGAACTACAGTAAGATCCAGCTTTGCTTTACTTTCAATTTACCTAATGGCAAGTGAGCTGCAGCATGAAAGGCCATTTGTTTATTTATTGACAGGGTCTTGCTATATGTAGTTTAGACTGGCCTTGAACTAACTAGCCCAAGCTAGCCTCAGACTTCTGGCAATCCTCCTGCCTCAGCCTCCCTAGTACTGGGATCATGGGCATGTGCCACCATGCCCGGCCCAATAAGTCATTTATTTCCTTAAAGATCCATGAGTTACAGTAGTTTTATTATTAATTCTGTATTTTCTATGTAAAGTAAACTAAAAATGCAGAATGGTTTTGGTTCTACCTTCCCAAGTTTTATCTTTTATTTTTCTTGACGTGTTGCACTGGTTGGGTTCTGTAATAAAATAGGTTGAATGGATGTTGTGAGAGTAGGCACCCTTGTTTTGCTCCTGATCTTAGGGGGAAAGTGTTCAAACTTTCACCATTAAGTTTTGTGATTAGCTTTAGGTTTGTTTTGATATTTATTTATTTATTTATTTATTTATTTATTTATTTATTTATTTTGACATTTCTTTCTTTCTTTCTTTCTTTCTTTCTTTCTTTCTTTCTTTCTTTTTCTTTTTTTTTTTGTACCAGGAATTGAACTTAGGACCTTGTGCTTGCAAGGCAGGCACTTATGTCACTGAGCTATATCCCCAGCCCCATAATTTTTTTTGAGACAGGATTTCACTATGTAGTCCTGGCTGGACCTGAATTTTCTATGTAGCCCAGGCTGGCCTAAAACTCAAGATCCCCTGGTCTCACCCTCCCGGTGCTAGGATTACCTATATGCACCACCATGACCAGCAGCTATAGGTTTTTATAGATGCCTTTTATCAGGCTGAAGAAGTTCCCTTCTATTTCTAGTTTTCTGGAACTTTTTAATCATAAATGTTGCTACATTTTGTTTAATGCTTTTTCTACATCATCAAAGTATATAGCCTCATATATACTGTGATTAAAGAATGCTGCTAAGTAGTCCAAGAGGGACTTGACTTGGCTCCCCAACCTAACATAATGTTATGTATCAAAATGAGAATGCTACATTACTTTGGTCCATTAATTAGCACATTATTTTTGCCATTTAAAAATTACTCCTCTATACAGTACAAGGAAGAAAGACATTAAAATTAGTATTTTCCCAATCTACATTTTGTTTCATTCATGAAAAGAATCATAACACAAAATTTAAACCTTCTTTTAAAAATTTCTTCAGTTCTGGTCCCCAGTTTCACCGGAGCTTACCAGATTTTACACTAATCCACAGCGTCTTCTGCTTTATGGTATACACTAAAATGGACACCAGGACAAAATAATTTTTTTTGTTTTGAGACAGGGTCTTGCTATGTAGTTCAGGCTGGCCTTGAACTTGAATTTGTAATTCTCCTGCTTAAGCCTCCCAAGTGCTGGGATTACTGGCATATGCCACACACCTGACTTACTAGAAAAATTTTACTGAAATTTGGTTTTCTTTTAAAACTAATTGATGGACCAAAGTACTGTAGCATCCCCATTTTTATACAGAACATCATGTTAACTTTTTTTTTTAAAGTTTTGGGGATTGAACTGAGGACCCTGTGCCTGCTAAACAAGCATTCTATCAATGAGCTACACTTCCAGCCCTATTTTCTTTAATATTCTAAAATCTGAAAAACACTTTGGGATAAAACAAAATCAGTCATATCCTACCATTCACTTTCTTTCCGGTCACATTTTCTATAGTTTTTCCTTTCCTCATTTTTTATATAACTGAAGTCATACTGCGTATATAATTTTATACTCTATCGGCTTAGTTTGATATTTTATCCCAATTTTTTTCTTTATGGGTATACTAAATGTTACAGTTAACATAAGATGTGTTAAGGTGTCATACTGACAGCTAACTTACACTGTATACAACCTTGTACAAAAGGACTAACACAGGTTACATGTGATAATTCTACCTAGCATCACTCACTAGCTAGGTACTCTTTGGCAAGATATTTAATCTCATTAATCCTGTTTCTTGTTTGTAAACGGGGTTAAGAAAGAACACACAGAACTCATGTGGAAATTTAATAATATATATAAAGTTTTTAGTTTGCCACTTAGTAACAGTGAACACTTAATAAATGTGAAGAATTAATACAACATCATCTTCTAAATTTTGTTACCTTCTCTGTGGCAGCACTAAGAACTGGTGAAATAACGGAAAAGGGTATCAGTAAATCGCAAGTATTAGTCTCAATACTCAATGACAGATTAGCTAGACCAAAGTTTAGTTGTCAGTGCAGATATATTTTATGTAGAATACGTCTTTTTTATTTTCTTTGCAGGGCTGAGGATCAAAACCAGGGACCCATGCATGCTAGGCAAATGCTCCAACACTGAACTATATCCCCAGCCTAGATATGTTCCATTTAGCGAATCTAATGTTTACATTTTAAAAACTGTGTGGAAGTATGAAAATGCCAACATATTGTAGTTTCTAAATCTACAAAAGCTGTAATTTTTTATTATTCAATTTAATAAATGCTAGTATCTTGGAACTGAGGTTACACACAAAGTGCAGATTTCTGTAGACAGATGCGGTAACAGGGATTCAAACCTCTATAGGACAGCCGTCACGGACGCCCAATACCAGATTCTGTTCATTTTAGATGGCACAGGTCCTCACTGACTCGGTACTGCCCACACCATCTTACTGTGCCTTACGATCTGACAGCTACACTCCTTTCTGTTACTCTGGCTGGCTCTCGTGGCCACGGGAACTGGAAAGCACTAGGTTTTTCTTGTTATTTTGCAAACACGCCAGAGCGTGAACCCTCATTCAGTTTTCAGGTAGTCTGGTTTTTTTGTTTGTTTGTTTGTTTGTTTGTGTTTTGTTTGTTTGTTTGTTTTTTCCGGTACCGGGAACCGAACTCACGACCTTGCGCTTGCCAGGCAGGCGCTTTTGCCACTAAGCTAAATCCCCAGCCCCTCAGGTAGTCTGTTTGACTGCGAGATTTTTTTTTAAAAATCCTGAGCAAATCACAAAATTTTGCTTTTCCCTATACAGTAATGTTCCGATATACAGGTTTAGAAAATGAATGTAGAACACAGGTATCTTATAGATACTAACTAAGGTACACGGTACTAACGCAGTCTACAGTTGTGACATGTATTTTGGTAAGGATCAAGCAAGAAATACGTAATATTTACTCTTCAAATGTCAACTATGATCATTCCAGATTCCTACAGAGTCAAGAGCTGTATACGCGCGTGCCTGTCTAGCCCAGAATAAGTCATTAAAGCGCCAGGCTTCCGATCTCTCATGTACGGTAACATAGTATTCCAGAACTAGAAAGGCAGAGGCAAGTGCGAAATTAACGCGTCTATTAACGCCCTCCCCACCCCCAGTTCCCTCGGCTCCCACTGAAGGAAAAGGCGCCACTGAAAAAGCCATTCCTCGGCGTGTATATTCAGACACTACGGAGACGCGACCCCCAAAGGGGGGCCCCAGGGCCAGGGACCGCGCATCGGCATCGCCAGCTAAGTTCACCCGAACCGTTACACAGGGTGTTAGTGCTCCGATCTCTGACTGGTCTTCAAACGACGGTGTGGCAAGCAGGCGCGCCAGCGCCTCCAGGCAGCGACGAGCTGAGGCTTGGCAGATTGGGCTGAGAACTTCACGGAGAAAGGTCTGATCTGCCCGGCGGACGCCCCGCTGCGTGCGGGGCCAGGCTGCGTGAAGGCGGCGCGGCCGCTCCGCCCCGGCC